ATCAACGCCTTAGAAAGGATTCACTTGTATTGACACGGAATTTTCAGGGCTGTCCGACTGGTAGTTGGCGATTGTTAGAGCCAAGGACACAAAACTAAACGCTGTTTTGCCATTCTTGTAGTGTCCGCTTGGACTGATCGCCCTTTCAAATTGTCATGTTTTGCAGTCGTGTGGTCCACTCAAGTGATGATAACAGCTTCCAGTGCCCAATCGGATGGAAAACAAAGTCGTGAGGGTTGAGTCACTATCGCAGCTACATGGATTGGGGAATGAGGGAGTGGACACGTGCCTGCTCAAGCCAGTCTTTTATTCACAAACTAGACGCTCGAGCTTTTCAGCCTAGCAACTGGACCCCACGACAGATGGCTCAGCCGGGCTGAACACGTGTTGTTCAAGCCTGTATCCTCTCCCCTTCCCCCTCCCTCTTCTCATACATGGAGGCAATCGAAAATGGGAACATAAAGTGAGACTTTCAAAGCATCGGCAAAGACGATATCGCCATGGTTTTATCAACGCTTCTGATTTTTACATTCATTTATTCAAACTGACGGTTATAAAGGTCCGACATAATTTTAAACTCCATGAAACGCTGAGCTTTGCAACATACAATGAAAAGCAACTTTTGATACAGGGCTTAAAAGCAAAAAAAAAAAAATTTTAAAACCGTGAGCAATTATGGTTGGGCATTGCTACTTATTTCATTTCAGTCGACATTTTGATTTTAACTCACCATAGTTCCGGTGATGGGTAGACGTGTGTGGCCGATGGATGACGAGGTGGTTTTCCATCAAAATTCACCTGTCCCCACGAAGATAGCATGTGATCGCGGATGGTATGAACGTTTTGTTTCATTCGATTCCTTCTATCCTTTTTTATTACCGCCGCTCTCTCCTCGGCAGCCATCCAGGGAGCGACTCCTCGTAAAACACTTGTAGGTGAATCGTCCATGCTAGGTATTATGGTATCGCGCACCTCTTCTCCTTCCGCTTTGTCACGTGTGAACTTGTAAACGGGTACACTGGAGGACCGAGGTTCGCGTTCCTCTTGCTTCAGACGAGTTCGACGCTCAACTACTCGAATATTTCCATTTGGAGTGGGATAAGTGTTGGTGGTCAGATAGGCTTGGCCAGGTTGTTGATAGTTCGGTGTCTTATTCACAGGTGTGGCAGATGTCGAGGTCAATATCGAGATATACTCACAGGGTTTGAAGATGGTATCACATGTTTGGGCTGAGAAGGAGCGTTGATGCATTCGGGAGCGGTTTTCCTTCATCATGGTGCTGAAATGTCAAAGAATTTGTCAACAGCTGCACCCTGACAAATACCATCAAGAGCTGCTTAGTATGAGAATGAGAATCAGGGTAAGGAATTCTCGTATCATGAGTCAAATGTTAATGAGGTCAGGATAAGTTC